CAGCCGCCAATTCTTCATTCTCTCTCTCTCGCGCTGCGTGACAGTTTGGTTTTCGTTGCCGTGACGTGAAGATCCCGCCATTATAACTAAACATCCCCCCACCCATACGGATTGCTCGTTGCATTATCTTGTGCTTATGTAATCGTGTGAATTCAATTCGCTTTTGCGCATAGTTCATTCCTCTTTTTGTGTAAAAAAATAGGAAGAATCAACCTTAAAGTACATAATTCTACCTCTAATTTACCAGGGGTTAAGTTTAGTGTTCCGTGGACAGTTTTCATATGTTTTTCGCAAAAATAAAGGAGTCAAAAGCGTGATTATCACGTGTCATAAGGAAAGAAACGGAAACTTAACATGTTGTCCAGTTTACACCTCTTCATACATCTAAAAAATGTGAGAGAGAAGATTCTATAGTGTTGGTTTGACCAAGTTGGCCTGTAATTATATAACGAATCTGATCACTGTTATAGAAAACATAATATTTTGTCCGCATGTGGTGTCTCTCGCTTCCGGTGTAAGTACGATAGTTTACAATATTAACTTGGTCAACCTTTCACCAAATCCTCCCAATTATTATGATTATTTTTTAGTTTTTCTCATGCTGTCATCTTGGAATAGATCAATCTTCCCATCTTCTTCCACGTATCCTTTTCTCTCTGTCCTGTTGACATTTATGGTTCCCCAACACAGTATTCAACCGTCCCAAAAACAAAATCCATTTTTTTTGTCTAATTTCAACTTGTCCTGCACAAGGAGAAGACACGATAGTCATTTGGAAAAAAAAGGTAAAAATATGAGCATGGAAGATAGAGTTTTTAAACACGTAAATCCATGATCCAGAACTTTTCGACCGAGTTCATTAGCTTTCGCTTCGTAGTGTTTTGTTTTGCATGTTTAGATGTGAAGTGTGAACGTAGGAAATACAATGTTAGCTGAATTGTCAACTTAATTTGATGGTCAAGAACAACCGGGCTTCGTGTATCCAATCTGAACTAGACTATTTCAAACCAGAACTGGAAAAGAAGAAGAAAAGTATGCGGCCATGCTTAAAATGAAGCTCTTCACATTGGCTGTGTTTCCAATCAACCTACGGCTTTACATACACAAACAACATGTGTGAATAACAATCTTCAATTGTAAAAGGTTGGATATTTCTTTGCGGTTGAATAATGTGAGCTTGATTTAGTTTGACCCCTTACTCTCAGTCTTAGAATTGATGCAACCAACTAGCCGCAAGTCAAACATTGAAAAAAGATTAAATATATAATAACACCACCCTTTTCTTTAATTTCGATTTTGGAATTGTAGATGACGGTAAATACATCACCAGAACATGATGGTCCATGTCTATATATTCTGGAGAATCTCCATGAGTCAATGCTTCCCCCCTTCTCTCTCTCTTCCTCTCTCTCCGCTCTTGGTTTCTCTGCAAATTTGGTTTTTGACAAATTTGAAGATCATCTTGAACACAAGAACAAGGTGACAAATCTTTTGATCCGACATGGGGCTCAACAACGAAGAAGCAGAGGGCAACACCCAATTCGCAGAAATGGATACTGGAGAGAAGCGGTTGAATGAACTGGGCTACAAGCAAGAGCTCAGAAGAGAGATGGTAACTTCAAATTTTAGCATATTTCCCCTCTTTTTCCATTCAATTGTATAAAAAGTTGCTTTTCTCAAAAAATATTTGTAATTTGTTTTCATATATTTTTTGGTGGCAGACTTTGTTCAAGACTCTTGCAATATCATTTTCGACGATGACACTCTTCACTGGGATCACTCCCCTGTATGGATCAAGCCTTTTGTATGCAGGACCTGCAAGCTTGGTTTGGGGATGGGTTGTGGTTTCGTTCTTCACTTGGTTTGTAGGGATTGCAATGGCTGAGATCTGCTCTTCTTTCCCGGTTTGTTCCTCGTTACTTGTTCTCCTTTTTATTTTTTATGCCGTCTTTGTTTGTCAATTTTAGTATTATCTTTGAATTCTTCGTGATGACTTGGGAGAGTTTGTTTGTGCATTTAGTACCTTTGACACTTAAGAGCTTGTTTGAAAGGTCAAAAAGTTATGAAGGTCTTAACCAAAAAGATTGTTTATCTGAGCATCATGATTTACCTTGTGTAAAAGAAGGAACCTGTTTTGGGTCTTAAGTAGACTCCTCTAGTCATAACATCTTACATGAATTTATAAACAAACAGAAAGGATACAGGAAGTTATGCTGGGGTAATTCCGAACTGCAAAGCTCTTTGCTTGGCCGAAATGTTTGGCAAATTTTTAACCTTAAGGAGATTCTTTGTACTTCTGTCTAAAGAGAAGCTAGCAGAACTAACAAGAACACTTTCGAGAAGGGAAAATGGTGCATGTAAAACCATTTTGTCGAAACTTAGTTGCTGTTCTGTTTTCCAACAGAATTTAAAGGAAGTTGGGAACAAAATACTCCGAAGCACTAAATGCTTCATTTTCCTCTATATAGGTTTTACTTATGCTATTTGGAGGGTTTCTTTCGAAAAGAAGTTCATGCCTTTCCAAGATATCTAATGATCTTATCTTTGTGGACTTTGAACAGACGACCGGCTCCCTTTATTTTTGGGCTGCCCATCTCGCCGGACCCAAGTGGGGTCCATTTGCTTCATGGTGTTGCGCTTGGCTTGAAGCCATTGGCCTCATTGCTGGCATCGGTACTCAGGTAGATTCCGTAGTGTGTTTGCTTATTGTTCTGTTTCCTGTTGCATTACTTCTTCGAAGTATCTATCAAAGCTTCGTGCAGTGAATTGATCCCACAAGTGGTTCCGGAAGGCATATGCAGGATCACAAACCCTTCAGAGCATCATATTATTGTGCACTGGCACAAACAAAGATGGCGGCTACCTTGCACCGAAGTGGTTGTTCTTATGCATGTACATGGGTCTTACTTTCATATGGGCATTCCTCAACACATTCGCGCTTGAAGTAATTGCGTTCATCGACATAATCTCAATATGGTGGCAGGTATATTCTAAAACTCGGGCATTCTGTATCAAAAACTTAACATATCAATAGTCTGTGTGGACCAAAATAAGTGACCTTTGAGATGATTTCAATTACTAATCGAAACTCTGTTTCCTTTTCCTTTAGTTAATCGGCGGGATCGTCATAGTTATAATGCTTCCGCTCGTAGCACTGACTACACAGTCTGCATCTTTTGTGTTCAGCCATTTCGAAATGGCTACTGATACAACTGGGATATCAAGCAAACCTTATGCAGTAATTCTGGCTTTTCTCGTCAGTCAGTATTCACTTTACGGGTATGATGCAGCTGCGCATCTAACTGAAGAAACTAAAGGCGCTGACAAGAACGGTCCCATTGCGATTCTTACCAGTATAGGGATCATTTCAGTGTTTGGTTGGGCCTATATATTGGCTCTTACTTTTAGCATTCAGGTAAGGAGCTCTTCATATCTACTTATTAAGTGAAAATATTGCTTTGTTGGAAGTAATGAAGTAGCAATTTGAATGAGGAAAAAATTTGCAGCTTCCAAAGACAGAACACGCAATTTTACCTCTCATGAATTTTTTAGTCCAACATTAAATCGGGAAATTGGGTGGACTTTTTGTTGTTAAGCCACATCTCACATCACCACAGAACTCCATTCAACTGCCTTTTACCAATATTAAAGTCAGTAACGTTGCATGTCTAAATTTGTACAAAGAGCAGGCTGAAGAATGCACATATGCTTTTTCTCCCTCTCTTCTGGACATTGCTGTTACATCGATCGCTTTGAGTTGCTTTTAAAACTGTTTCTGCTGTATTATACTATCTTGTGCATTCTGAAACTTTCAGGACTTTAACTATCTATATGATACGACCAATGAGACGGCGGGTGTGTTTGTTCCAGCTCAAATACTCTATGATGCATTCCATGGGAGGTATCACAGTGCTACTGGTGCGATCATCTTGCTATTCATTATATGGGGTTCATTCTTTTTCGGCGGGCTTTCCATCACTACCAGTGCAGCAAGAGTGGTCAGTATCTATTCCTCTTTTCCTTTGTTATGCTTCACCATCCGAAAAGTTTCGGGTTCTCTGTCCATCAATACATAACCCGTGCACCACGGCTCTCTTCAGGTATATGCATTGTCAAGAGACAAGGGCATCCCATTTTCATCGATATGGCGAAAAGTGCATCCAAAGCACAAAGTCCCATCTAATGCAGTGTGGCTCTGCGCAGCCATCTGTGTTCTACTTGGAATTCCAATATTGAAAGTGAATGTAGTCTTCACTGCCATAACTTCCATATGCACAATAGGATGGGTCGGAGGATATGCAGTCCCGATATTCGCAAGGATGGTCATGGAAGAGAAGAATTTCAAACCCGGACCGTTTTACTTGGGAAAGGCAAGTAGACCAATCTGTTTGATAGCGTTTCTGTGGATATGTTATACCTGCTCGGTGTTTCTTCTACCGACTCTGTATCCCATTAGTTGGAACACATTCAACTATGCGCCAGTTGCTTTAGGTATGGGTTTAGGTCTGATAATGCTTTGGTGGGTGTTTGATGCCCGGAGATGGTTTAAGGGACCTGTTAGGAACATCGATGCACAGAACGGAAAGGTATGATACGATGCTCTTGTATCCAATGTTTCAGTATAGGCAATTGGTTGCCCTTAGAATGATTTGAAAACAAATCCATCGTGTTCTGCCACAGGCATATGTCATGAGCATTCGTACTTGATTACTTCTAGTGCAAGGCATAACCACTTTGTTTACATTCCAAAAAAAGCATGAAAGCTCAAATTTGTTCAAAGCACAGAATAGATCTCCTGTCTTAACATCACTGAGCAGTCCCTCATGCATCTTTGGTCGATCGGTGAGAAAGCTTGAGAGGCGATGTAACTGCAGAATATCATCCCTGGTGCATCATATCAAGTTTTATTGTCAGCATGATAATCCGCACATAAAAGATTGTTGTCTGCCAGGGCTTGACAAAATTATAACCCACCTCAGTCCCCGTCACCACAGGAAATCTTGCTCTACTGTAATATAACACTAGATTGACGAATTAATCCCCAGTCGAGTGGTGTACAAAGTCAAAGAAACATATGCGGGATCCAAATTCAATCCTTGTTGGACATGGGAAGCTATGGAACTAATACTGACACAAACTGAGAAATGAGAAGTTTATTGTTGGCTGTGCAACTTTAAGGGTGCCGATCCTCTATCTCAGATCTAAATTTTCTGTCTCCCGCAAGTCCCATTTGTTGGCTTCACATTAGATCGCAACATATGTTTACCGAGATCTCAGCCTTGGCACCAAATCCTGTGGCCATGGAGGTGTCGATCCTCTAGATCTCGAGGCGGTGGCTCCCCCATGGCCATGGAGGCCGAGCTTCCAGATCCGAAGGGGAAGGCCGCTTATCGCCCAGAGGGAGCTCGACACCACATCAATTGTACATCTCTCTATCCCTTTTGATGTGTCCCAATCTCATGTGCCTTACATCTCGACTCACGTCCGGTTAATGTTAAATTAATAAAAGTCAGTGGCATGCGTTATCGACCTAAACAAGAGGCATCGATTGGGGGATAATCTGTGTTTTCAATGCTCTCCATTCTTTTAACCACAGACTAAAGCTCGAATTCTTAGCCACAACATCAGCTGACACCTCTCTTCCTTCAACCAGGTTCATTGCATAAGTTTCAAACTTAATGAGTCCATCCCAAAGAAAAGCCAGGTTTCTAGGGTCACTCTGACGCTTAATGTTGTCCAGCCACTCCTTTGCTTCCTCCACCCTTGCCCAAAAGCGAGTGTCTTGGGTCAAGCCTGCATACCTGGTCCTCCTATTGCTCAGTTTCTCGGTAACAACTCTCTCAGTCCACCAGCGATCGAAAATTTCGTACCTCCTCTCTCTTCCATTGCTTATGTAGTGGCCTTTCTTAAGGTGCATCCCTGAACGATAATACTCCGCGATATCCAATGGCTCCACAAGAAGCATGTAGGACTGCGCCGCGTTTACCCATTTGGACCTTCTGTGCAAATCGTGTGGGAGTTCTTTCCCGTCCATCAAGTGTATGACCTTGTCCCAAAAGGCCCCAAGCTTGTACCGATTCATGTTTATCTTGAACTCTCTCTTTGAGGCCCCCCTTTGCTTGAATGAATCATAGTATCCTCTTTGCTCTTCGGATTTATCGCAACAAGCTTTATACCACTCTATCTCCGCCCTATAAGGAGTGATTTTGGATAGCCTAATGGCTAAGTCGGCGGCGTTTAGGTTCGGCGCACGCCCCATTCGCCTTGCCATCTTCAAGCAATCTTTTGCCATAGGTGCAATCGATACCTGCAAAGTAAAGGATCAAAGAACTTTTTTAAACTCGAGGAATTGCACCCGGGAATAAAAAGCCTAGGTAGATACATTTACTGATTGCAATCACTCGACGATCTAGGATGTTGTGCTCCTACCTGTCGATAAGTCCCCAAGGAGTTCAAAGCCATCGAAAGACTTGCTTCATAGCTTGATTCAGAGAGATCTCCTTCCAAGAAGCTTCTCTTCAAGGACTGAAGACTCAGTCTTTCAACATACCACCCATACTTAAGGTGCTCCTCAATGATACAATTTGGAGAGCCTGTCCTTAGCATCAGATGCATCATCTTTCTCACTGATACAGCGTTGTCCAAACAAATGGCGCCCTCATCTGAACAAAACAAGTAATTCCCAAACGGCCAAAACAACCTCCCTCCCGAGCCTTCCACTGCCTGTGCCAGGCACTCCATGTCGGCCGCAACGGAGGAAAATAACCGGGCTTTGTCTTCTTCAGTTAATTGGAGGTTAGCGAAATTCATAGACATCATAGACGTGTACCAGAATCTTATGATGGCCTGCCACTGGGGAGTCGGAACAAGTGATTGGTGGAGAGATAACCTCGGCATGATATCGCGGGTCGACACAACGTTGCAGAAGCTGCCGCCCCATCTTTCGCGGAGGATGGCTTGGGAAAGAGACTCATTGCCGAGGAAAGGAGAGCCGAAACCAATGCAGAAGACCGAGATGGGTGGGAAGATGGATATGAGGTAGGTGAGGAGCCGAAGAGCTGTGAGGAAGGCAATTGATCCTCCTATGGAGTGGCCGGTGATCACTATTGACTTGGTTTCAGCCACCAAGCTATGAATCTGCATGCATGTATAAGATTTCCTGAAATCTAGTTAAACACTTCCTGAAAAAATCTCGATTACAACGCTTCAAAAGCTTCTTTGGAAAAATTCAACTTGCACAGATCATGTCAAATTAGAAGAGTTACACCAATAGATCTAGTAGAAAATCATCTCTCGTGCTGCAAGTGCTAACCATATGGAACTAGTTATTAAACAAGTTGAACAACACTAACATGTTCAGCAAATGATGATAAGGGTGCAAATACGTTTAACACGTGTATTGAATGCATCCATGTGTATAGTGTATGTGGGTAGCGCGCAACAAGGGAGAGCCCGAGCCCGTCGATATAACCAATTGAATATATTTTCATTCAAAAGTTTAATTAAATAAGTTATGAGCCAACTATATATTAACTACTCCGCATTATACCGATTCTCTAATGTAAGACTTATTCTAACACATCTCTTGACTTGAATCTCCGCGTTCCCTTGTGAGAACCGTAACAATAATAATGCCCACCTTCATCCCTAGTATTTTTCTCCGGACCGAACCATAAAAGCTGTCATCAGGAGCGTGTTGCTACTCCACAATGCCCATCTTTATACCAAGTCCCTTTCGCTAGACCAAACTGCCATGAAGGCTCCCATTGAGATCGCGTTGCTACACTACAACGCTCACTTTCACCCTAGGTCTCTTCCTAGGCTGAACCATGAATGCTGCTCAGAAACTGTGATGGTCACGAGATTCCTTACTTGAGATCACCAAATAGCAATGACATATTGGGAGTAGGCCATCATGGGCTTTGATATCATTTGTTAAGAGCTCGAAACAAAAATTCGATACCCTCCCACATTCAAACTCGTCAACATATTTAGTTGAATCCACTTTCGCTCAAAGCTTAAGCTAACGAGTTATAGCGTAACTAAGATATATCAATTACTCTACAACACACGATTCTTCAGTGAGATTTATTCCTAACATAACTCACACGCTCATTTCAACAACGTATGCACCAAGATAATCTATGAGAACAATACCATTTATGCACAGAAGACTATCTCCTGAACAATCACAATTGGATTTGTTGTGGAGGATCATATTTTATATACTAACTCCAAAGAAAAATCTTCGATCTACTGAATTTCCAAATTTGGACCGGACCTGTAAGTTATCGTAGACCTAACAGGTCGTTAAACCTGCCCATGCCAGATCAACGTGGATGGGCTCAAGGAAAAAATGGCGGGTCTGAGTAAGCAATTCTCTTCTTGAGCTTGCCCAGCCCACCTCCGCCCGTCCAAGCCTTGAAAAATTTGAATATTCTAATGACTAGGGTATAATGCCTACAAGTATTATTATGTATGTAATATTGCAGACATCAGCTAGAGATAGATGATGCAGCAATTTACAATAAATAAGATCAATAAATAATGCGAGTTGCTTTTTTTAGTTTACTTATTGCCTAGAATTAGACCCGTCAAACGAGTGGGTCGAATTGAAAATGATCCGACCCAAATTGACCCATTTAACCTGTTTTGACTCATTTTCATGCAATACAAATCTAGTAACCAATACCCGACCCGATTCTTACCCAAATTATACTCAACCCTATCCATATTGTTAAAACACATCCATATTTAACACAATCTAAAAAAAAACACATACACAAACTAAGGTGAAAGCGTAGAGTGAGCTGGCATCGAATGAGGGTGAGACAAAATGAGGAGAAAATCATATAGGTAAGTTGGGTTTAAGTAAGTTGAAAACTCATTTAACACCTATATTAATTTGGGTTTTACCATTATAAAATTATTTATGACCCATTTACTGAATAACTAACTCATACAACAACTCACTTTATTAAATATGGGTTAAGAAATTGATCTTTGACCCATTTTGACAATCTACCTAGAAACCCATATATATACAAACAACCACTAACCTAATGGGGATTAAAATATAACATGTTGCGTTTTCCTTATCTGTCCATTTGCTAATCTGTGGAAAATTTGGCAATGGGACGGCACCCACTAAACTTTTTTTTTTTTCAAACTCATCATCTGATGGATCAACAATAGATAAAGTACTTAGCACTAATTGCGCACTAAGCTTTAAAGTAGCCACTTAAATCAAGAAAAAGTTATTGGGTGGATCGGATACATGAATCCTCAAGTCAAATTGAATAGTTGAATATGATGAATCTCACATGTGAATAAAGTAGGAGGACCCCATTTGCCCTATAATGAGTCGAAGACAAAGCCCGAAAGAAGTGCGGGTGGGGTAATTTCCTGGCTAGAAATAGCGATGCTTCATTGACCCGTAGAACTAAAATCATGTCTAATGAACCCATTCGGTAAAGTTGCCTGGTTGTGTTTCGTGGACCTATGAAGATGGACAACTCGTCATGAAAACAACTCGACATCTTGTATGCCTCCAATATAATCTAGCAGTCGAAGCCACAACACGAATATTTGAGAACTATATGACATTGATATCTATCCCCTATTTTAAAGACGGAATAGGATTTCGTACAAAAAGTTCTACCATTACACGTGAAAGGAGACATTTCATCAATAGGATCGATTAATTTATAAAAATTGCATGTGGATGTGGGAATTATAAATTATGTTCGAATGACATTTTCTTATTATGATAAAATAAAAATAGATTACTTGTATAAGTTTGCACACGTTACTTACGGATTGGTCACTCATTAGACTTCTCATGCGTGACATATCTTCTATGTAATTTAATAACGTCCTGTTTGGATTTTAATATTGCTATATTAGTGATATCCACATCCATTAATCAGGTCAGACAGATCTGTTTGGCAGATTTTAGTTATTAACTGAGAAAATGGAAGACACTATCTTGAGCAAGACTGTAAGCTGCATCTTTTAACCATAAAAAAATTAATCAAAAGTGATGAACATTAAGGTCAATGTTAGCAAAAATATAGAAGTTCTTTGGCACACAGGGAGAGGCACGAAGATTCAAACATGTCAAGCAGAACATCATCACAAGTAAGCAAAATTCAATCCACGATATTGAAAAATTCGTCCACTCAATCGATCTCTTGGGGCCTCGAGGTGGTTAACCGAGAAAACTTGTTTTAGTTTGCGGAAAATTTACAAGTCATGATGCATGTTTGAAGTGATTACATTGAAAGAGCGCATGCAACTGGTGATGTATTCACAGTATAATTCCTGGAAAATGGACTTTTCATGTGGAAAGGAAGATAGCTCAGAAACAGATCGAAACCCTATTTGCAATCTTGACCCTTTGCGTCTCAACTAAAAGTCAAGTCTACATCCGATAGTCTCTAGTCGAAAAGGTCGGGCGGGTTTGTCCAGGAACGAGATGAGAAAAAGGTGCTTTCAGTTCAGTCCCGTCCCTGTCTGGGAATCCGTCTCAAAGTCCCTCTTATTATCTCCACTGACGCGATACAGGATGTCGCATTTCCTGAATCGCTAAGAAATCACCCTTTCATTGAATCGTCGGCTATAGGAGGAAAATCTTATCGACACTCGAGTCTACATGGACCAGATCAATTACATAATTTAATTAATGCGATTTTCACATTGCACGTGAACTCCGCAAAATTCGATAATTTGATTGCGCTCAGTCCGTGAACCCTGGTCCACACAACGTCTTGCCTTCAGAGGTCTAAGTCAATGAATAACTTGAGACATATTTAAAAGCAAGTTAGGTGATTATCAAGTGTACCATTATAATAAATTTGCTGAGACAAGGGGACCTAGTAATATATGCAACCGGGACCACTTCGCTTATAATTTGTTAACCCGAGGAAGAAGATAGGTAGGCAATCACTGTTCCACTACATAGTGGGCGGCAAATTAATCATGAATAGCACTGAGCTACAGTGCAAAATAGCGAGATTCAACGTCTAGCGAATTGTCTGGTATTGGCCATTATATTCGTTGTGTTTGGATTGATCTGCCCTCGGGACGATCGCGAGAAGATAAGACTTCTTAGTCATTTTTAAATGGATGCATTGCATTGCATTCTTTTAATCACTATCTGGCTTAATTTGCTATTGGATCAATCTATTCTTAGAACGATAGTAACTTACAAACAGTCCATAAAAATTACTGATTGTAAGATTGTTCGTGGGAGAATTACGATACATGAGGATGATTTATAAGGAACCTAGAAGAAGAATTCAATTATTGAGGACAATTACTAAGAATCGTTTCTGTCATTTATGATGGATTGATCTATTTTATTATACTACAGGGTAATCGGTAAGGTTATGTTCGATGACCAGGATAGAGAGGTGAGCATGGTTTGGCTGGGTGGTTCCCACCATGGAATCGAGAACCGCCCGTTAGTTTCATGAATCCACCTGAAAACTAGACCGGAGAACTGGATTGCCAGTCCGGTCCAATTCCCTGATGGGTCCATAGATCCGGTCTCACCAAGCTTCACGCAAATGGAGGCGACCAAGAGTGAGAGAGGAGAGGGAGGCGATGAATGATCAGAGGCACGACCATGAGTTGATGGGAGTTGAGAGTCAAGGCAGTGAGTCAATGGACGTTGAGCTTGAGAGTCAAGACCATAAGTGAGAGGTAGAGAGACAACTCAAAAAAAGTGAGAGTGAGACGAGACGAGCAATTAGTTAATGGGCGTTGAGCTTCGAATTAGAGATTTTAGGGTTTTTATTTTTCTTAAAATGTTTTCTTTTTTTTATTGGAAATTTTTCTTAAAAATTATATGTTTATATATATACAACACTGGTCCAATCAGGGTGGGCGGGTTGATGGTTCTACGCCTAGAACCAAGAACCAGACCGATATTCACTGATTTTAGTAAATTGGAATCGGGAATTGGACCGGTCCGCAAGGGAACCACTAGGGGTGAGCATGGTTCCAGGGTAGAACCAGGAACCTGAGAACCTAACATGTGAGAACCTGTAGGTTCCAGGTTCCAGGTTCCAAAAATTGAGGAACCTATTTCAATGGGTAAGCTCCAGATTCTAGGTAGGTGAAACGTAAAACCTAAACAAGTCTTTTGTGTTTTAACTTGGTCTATGTCTTCGCGTGATCCTGCAATGGTTCATGGCATTATATGATGAGTGTATAATCTGAAACTACTAGTCCGAACTTTCATTTTATAACTAGTTAATGTTTTCATATTTTTTTTGTGTCTAAATATAAGTTGTGGTTAGTAGATCATGGCAGTAAGTGGTGGTTATTAAAGGTGATGATTCTCTGCAATTGTTCATTTAATAATGTAGGTGGAATGTGGGTAGACCTTGGAACCGACCCTCGAACCTGTGATAAGGTAGGTTTCAAATTCCAAAAAATGAGGAACGTATTATCATGGGTGAAATCTATACGGAACATGGAATCGCTCACCCGTAGTATCGATTCACGCAATAACTTCTAATTTTAATTATATTTATTTGAATCATAATGCCAGGAAAACTAATCTTTTGTATTCTCTTTGGCGAATGACAAGCTTATTCAGTATTATTGCGTTCATCTTCGTTTTGTTTAACTAAAAATGAAATAAATAAAAAAAGAACATGTTAAACCTTGGAACCTACTTTGGAACTTATGATAGGGTAGATTTTAGGTTTCAAGTTTCGACGAGTAGGTTCTAGGTTCAAAAAATGAGGAACCTATACCCGAAAGTAGGTTTCAAGTTCTACATGAAACCTGGAACTGCTCACCCCTAGGAACCACCAATTCTGGGCCAATCCGGTATGGTTTCGGGCAGTTCCCGGTTCCTCTGCACGCCCCTACCAGTTTATCATATCTAGTGTTTGGTTGCTATGTAAGATAGGATAACGCCGGATAAAAAATGGATATAACTCTGATTAAAAACTCTCGTATGTGAAGTGAGATAATTGTGGATAAGATTTCTCATGTCTATGATATACGCCGGCCACCGTGCTAGGGCCACCACTGCAACAACTAATTGTCGTCGCCTCCGACCACCGCGCAAAGCATCGCCAATCGTAATCATCCGCCAACCAATCATTGTTCCCCAATTGGAGTTTCACAATCAACATCTCCACCTTCGCCCAATTCTAGTGTAATGGTGGAGCATTTATTCATCGTTCCTTCTCATTCACAGCTTGTGCCTCCTCTCTATTGTATATACACTTCACATGCGAGAAAAAGATTTCCACCTTTTTCGTAGTCTTTCACTCAATCACGCATTATCTGAGGCGACTGCAAGGCCGCAAGGGTCACAATGTCAAGGATCTAAACGAGACAGAGATGGTGACCGACAAGGCGTCACGGGTTGGTAACTATGCAACAATAGGGGATGCAATGACAATTGGGGAAAGCACGGCGAGGTGAGGCGATGTCAATGGTAGCTTGACAAGTGGTAGCGGAAGGCAACAATGACATCGAGTTGATGATAATGGTGCAAAGGTGGAGGGGAAGAGTGAAGAATTCGTGTTATATCCAAGTTATATTCAAACATCTATCAAATATTGTTTAGGATATTACAAATTGTTTCATTATCCTATATGACCTTTATCTAACAAAAAAAGTCCAGGGAACCAAACATAGCCCAAGTGTTATTAGCATTCTCAGGTTATAAACTTTATAGACTAATCACCTTATATAAAGGTAAAAAATTATTAGTTATAAGTGCAAATAAGCTAAAATATATGCAAGTTTACAACTCATAATATAAAGAAATTACCCACAGGTGTAATCAGTCTTACCAAAGCTTTAGATAATCCGAGAAATTTATGATCAAAACTTAGACTCATCAAATGGGTGGATCGGCTTGAGTTGAAAATGGTTCGATCCAAATAGACTAATTTCCATGCAATGCACACTAGCGATTCATATTCAACCAAACTCATATTACTAAAACACTTTCATATTTAACTTAATTTAGAAAAACTCGTATCTAAACTGAGATGAGGGTGTTGATATCTAAACTGAGGTGAGGGTGTTGAGGGAGTGAGCAAAGATCAATGAGAGCGAGAGAGAGTCGTAGCGGTGGGTTATATTTAAGAAAGTTGTAAATCTATTTATGATCCGTTTAACACCTATTTTATATTTTAATTTATTAATAACCCATTTACTAAATACGACTAACCCATATAATAAGTCGGCCCATTATAAATGGATTTACCACCCAGTTTGATAAGTCTATCAAAACTGAAGAAGCACCCTTGGCAGTGATGTAAAATTCAACTTTTCCAGAAGAGTCGATAACACTGATGATAGGAAATAGAAATTGCTAACCTGGCTTTGAAAATCGGGGCGCGAATGATACTGAAGGAAGAGGTGAAGCATTCCAGAGTGGACCATGACCGGCTCCTCGTCGTCGTAACGGCATTTCAACGGCGCGAACAGCCCGCGGCCTGCTACATCCAGCGGCACCAGCATGCCGTAGTTCGGATCCCAACCGAGCACCGGCATCTCTTGGACGCCCGAGAATGCCACGTACCCCACGCCCCCGACTTGCTCCGCCGCGAAGGCACCGCACCCCATCGCGTTCGCGGTGCCGCACAGCCTCCACGCCTCCTTCAGCAGCGGGGTCGAAGCCAGGAAAGTCCCCAACATCTCGCTGGTCTCGAACCTTGCCGAAACGACCAAGGAAAAAAAAGGGAAAAGAACAACAACAACAACAAAGCAGAAGTTAAGGAAGGAACGTAGCTGGAAACATGGAAATGATGGGAAATTGAGGTGAGCAGGAGAAGAGAGAAGAGGTGTGTTACGATGAAGCTTCGGTGTCCATGGTTCACCGTTTCTGCTCGTTGAAGGGGGAAGTGAGATGGATATCAAACCCTGAATTTATCGTCCGATGATGGCGGCCATGTGAAGAGGGTCAAGTCGTTGAGTGGAGACCCGCCGAAGACTTGAGGCCATATGCCAGGCCAGCGAGTTGGATCTCTGCTGAAGATGGGACGTTGATTTGCAGAGCCAAAGAAGAAGAGGACTCGCAGACAAAAAGACACCACACACAGAGAAAGATGGAGAACGGGACGGAGCACGTTGCTTTTAAGTGGTGGGGGACTCTCTTCGGATAAATCGACCCGTCTTGTCTGCCGTGCGCTGTCCCTTTCCATTTATTTTTTAATGATTAATGGCTTCGTTTATTTATCTAAAAATTGACATTTTAAAAATTTTAGGAAGAAAGTTACCAAAAACTTTAAAATATGTCCACCATGACATATTTATCATAATTTTTTTTTGTGACACAATAAATCATAAACTTATACTTGTATGACATATTTATTTCAACTTGTATCAATGTGATACATTTATTCCAAACTTTTTCTTACGACACAAAAAACTTAAACTTATATCTGCATGGGGTAAATATATCATATGAGTACAAGTTTGAAGTTTTAAAAATAATTTAAGATAAATGTGTCACATGACTATAAGTTTGTGGTAAAAAAAACTTGAAATAAATGTGTCATACGAGTATAAGTTTTGGATTTTTGGTGTCATAAAAAAAAATTTGGGGTAAATATGTCACAATTGACATATTTTTGGATTTTTGGTGGTTTTTTCCCAAAAAAATTTCCCAAACTTTAATCATTATTCGTTCCTACAAAAATGAATTAATAAACAATAATTCATGCCTCAACATGTTCGTTGATAATGAGAATATTTTCTGTTACCTCATTTCTTAAGAGATATAAGTGATCAAAATTAAGAAAATATTCTTTTAAGTATTAATTTTTCGTGAAATAAATAGTACCTAAGGACGCAATAATTTGTCTCGAAGAAAATGTGGCTATGTACTTGATTATGACTTGAGGAACGTTTTCGACACGGAAGACGAGCTGGCATGGTTGCCAAATTACGTTTCTGCAACTCTAGTTTTGAAATCATTTTTCTGTATGACAGCTGCTTTTGCTTGTACCTTTCTCTGGCCGCTCTTGTAACTCTATCTAGCGCTCTCTCTTCCTCTCTCTTTGCACGTTGACCATAGAAACAAAAAATGCTGATTATAGTTTAATTGATTTGGCAAAATGAACGTAGCAACCGATGTGCCGGATGATTATCGGAATAAACTACGACTTTTATCTAAGGCCCAGTTCGTTTGGCGGAAAATATTCTCCTTTTGGAAAATATTTTCCCGTAAGTCATTTTTCCTGGAAAATGTTTTCCTGAACATAATTTTCCTGTTCGCGATCAATATGAAAAAGTTTCGGAAAATATTTTTCATTGGCGACCGGCGGCGGCGTCCGCGGCCGGCGACTGGCGGTGGCGATCAGCCAGCGGCAGAATGGCGGCCGGCGACCAACGGCCAACGCCGGCGTCCGGCCCGGCGGCGGCAGGAGGCCGGCAGCACGGTGGACCATGGCGGGATGTTCATGGCTGCGCGTGTGACCGGCGACGGCAGACCGGCGGCGGCAGCGCAAGTGGGCAGCAGCGCAGGGCGCGGCGGCGGCACCGACGGTCAACGTTCGGCGTCCGCGGCGACCGGCGGCGGCCGGCGACCTTAGTGAAGAAGAAGAAGAAAAAGCTCCGGAAAATGATTTCCGCTTTTGAAGAAGCGAAAGTCATTTTCCGTGAGACTTAGGCTATTTTGTGAGGGGAAGGAAAATATTTTCCCACGGAAACGTTTTCCGCCCCGAACATCGGAAGCTTCTGAAAATATTTTTCTTAATATTTTCCGCCAAACGAACTGAGCCTAAATGTCAACTTGCAATTCGTTACATCACTTAAGCATGCGATGCTTCGTACATTTCATTGAGGTCAATTGGCTGTGCTCAGATACTTTTTTTTTCTAGTTGTTATATAAATTAATTCTCAATTGAGTAATTTGGCCATGTTAAATTTTGGAACTTGAAACCACTGAAATAATTTCTTATCGATTTGACTGTATCATACATGCTAATTTTGAAATGCTCATGTCGCAATAATAAAGAAGTCCCTAGTTAAAAGGTCTATTCACTCACCACGCTTGTTGGTACATTGTCATTTTCAATGATCAATTTAACAACTTAACAAACGGAGAACATTTTTTTTATGAAAAAACTAATTGAGGAGCCTTTTTCATAAGTTTTATAATTCGAGATATTCTAATAAGAAGTTTAAAATTTAGAAGATTTTATGATTATTGATCTTATTATATTTTGAGTAAATAGTCATTCTCTGTCAATGGTAATTACAAAACTCATTCCGAAAGGCTTAAAAATTCTTACAATTAGGGAAATACGTCACCAATGTTGAATATAAATTTCGAGTTTGAGCATATTGAGGAAAGTTTCTTATTCTAGTAGGTTTCCTTTTTCAATGAGTTTCCTAATTCAAGTTGGTTTCCTAGTTGGAGATAGGTTTCATAAAAAGAAGTTTCCAATTTTGGACATACAAGAAGTGTCTTCATTGTGAAGAGTATCAAAGAGGGGCTTCTGCTTGTGAATTACATTCCGAGTGTCTGAAGCCATGAAAATCTTGTTTTAAGATTTTGTGAATTCCTTCGTAAGATTGAGAGATTATTTCGTGAGGAATTGTGAATTTAAACACCGTGTAAGTCATTTGGTGTAATTAAGGACCGGAAAACATTGAGAATGTTTGAAATGCTCCAGTGTGAATGTAATTTTCATTATATCGCTTGATATAGTGAAGTTTTGTGTTGCTTTTCCCGAGGATGTAGGTCACATCGACAGAACCACGTAAATTTCGTGTCTGATTTATTTTCTTATCCTGTTTATTTAATTGTTCGATTGTTTGCTTTCGCAACAATTAATATAGAGATATGCTTGGCTGAGTTCAAACGAATGATCAAGCATGTGAACATCAAAGACTTAAAGAAGATAGTATGAACATTGACAACTCAAAGAATTGATCACGTGATTAATCGACAACACTTAGCTAGTACTTCAGCAATTTAGGGCGCGAATGACAACATTTCTCTTTCCTGAGCCTATTTCTTGCTAGAAATTAAAAAATCTATTTTCTCTTTCTTGAACAAGCTTTTGAGCAAAAAGTAACGTTTGATCACATAATTTTTGTTTCCGGAATAGAAATTCATTTTATAATGATGCAAAATTTCTATTCCTATCGGCCGGTGAGCGACAACAGTGGGGGGGGGGGTGGGGCGAGCAAACGGCGGCGGGCGGCGATGGAGGGGGCGGCCGGCAAGCAGCGGCAGACAGCCAGTGAAAGGTGGCAGCGGCAGGTGGCGGCGGACGACCGACGACGAGTGGGCGGTAGATGGCCGACGGCTAGCAGCAAGTGAGCGACGGTGGGCGGCAAGGGTGAGCAATAAAAGAAAGTTGTTATTTCTATTTCTGTTCTAGAAACAAAAAAATAAGGAAATTTAACTTCTCATTTTTGTTCCAAATCTATTTCTTGGCCAGAATTTGTCCTAGAAATGAAAAAATAAAATTATTTAAGAAAATAGATTTCTGTTCCAAACCTGTTCCCGGGAACAAAAAAATAGAAAAACAAAGAAACATAATTATTATCATTCGCTCCCTTAGTCGAATTACAAAAATAGTATTATCAAATCTAGTTTCGGCATTTTCACATTTTCACTTAATCAAGTCATATTAATTAAATTGAACTTCAAAGTCCATTTATTTTTCATTTAAAACATACGAGTATTTTATTTACACCATGAGAATTTCACATATTTTATATAATTACCAAAAAATCCTACTTCCAAATTAATTACACAATTAGCTCCAATTTTGCATAATTAGATACATTGTCTAGATTAAGCAATTATCTCTAAAAATAACTTAACCACCTACCAAAATAAGGTTAGTCATGCTATGAACAGCCCCCAGAGCTTCTAGTTTTTACAAATTTGTCCTTCAATTTTCTGAAATTACGGATTTGCCCTAAAACTTCTAAACTCATTTTTTTAAACTGGTTTGATTTCCCTTAATTAATATTACTTAATAACCCACTATTTAACATTTAAACCCATAAAAAAAACCCAATTAACAGCACCCTCTCACTTTTATAAATTTCGAAATTTGTCGAAAATTACCAAGATACCACTTTTATGTTTAGTTTTATCATTTTCTCATTCTTTCCCATCTAAGGTGCAATAGAACCATTTTGGTATTCTTTCAAACACCTTCTAGGCATATATTAAAGATTTCAATTTTGGCAAGATTTCACCATAACTCTATATTTCAATCTTTGAACCTATTTGCATTTAAGATCAAATATAAACTAAACAGACAAACATCAACCAACCAATGTGATATTTACTTAACGGTAAGTCGTCCCGGTTTTTGTCTTTTTTCTTTTTGATTTTTTTCACCGACATATCAATGTCTAAAGTAGAAGTTTGTGGAGTGAAGAAGTGTGTTGTGCTGTGTCCGTTGTCATTTTAGGTTTGAGATGCTTGTTTCTCTGTCTCACTGCTCAGTTTTCTTCTACACTTAGCTCGTTGCTTGATCGGCGATTTAGTCTGTATAACCTCAGTAATAACCAATGTGTTTTTTACTTCCTTTTGATCTAGATTTTGTAGTCAATATATGTGCTAAACCGAATGCGAAGTGTGTGTATTTGCCAGTTTAGATTTGCTTTAGCATTATATTGGTGTTTCTTTGTTTGTGTCTTGATATTAGTCTATTTTTTCTTAATTTTCTGTGGTAAATAGTTTGGCGACTCCTAGGTTGTGCTATATAGTGTATCTGCTTTCCATAATCTAGTTTTCCAGGAAGTTATTTTCGCATGGTTAGTTGTTAAAGGAGTCCTACGGTCCTCTGCAATCATTTTCCATAATCTAGTGTTGTATTTAGAAGTTGTGCCTAATCTGGATATGAATGTGGATTTGCAGTGAAGAGTGCAACAAGGATGTTCCAGTGGCGCTCATTAGCATGCATAGTTGCGGCCTTGATGCCAAAATTAACATGAATTTTGGTATGTTTTCAAGCCTCATTGCCTTTATGTTGACACCTAA